TGTGTGTGTGTGTGTGTGTGTGTATATATGCATGTACGCATGTGTGCGTGTATGCCTTTATGCATGTATGCATGTATGTTCGTATATGTGTATACATTATGCCTATTTGGGTGGAGGAATTAATGGAAAAAATTAATGAAAGGACAGATGGATAGATGGATGGATGGATGGATGGATTTGTAAGAAAAATTAAAAAGCACGATTAATGATTCAACGTAATAGATTACTTACCCAGCTGTCCATAGCTACACAACGATCGAATTGGTCCCTGTACTTGGCCAGTGACTGAGACACAGAGAACATGCAAAGCTGGGGGTACCCCTCGATGTAGTAAAAACCCCTGAAAAAAAAGGATATCGCTATACGAACGTCTAGGGAGGAGAGAGTTGTCTTACGTTTGCTATACTTTTCGGTGTCTTAGATGTTCTTAATTGTAATACCTTTGTTTCCATCTGTTCTTGCTGGCTAAAGATTAAATCTAAAATGTAACACAGACGACCTGTTTTATAGCTACCTTCACACTAAATTTATTTATGCATACTTTCAAATCCCCGAATTATTTTTAAGAAAGTGCACAAACGACAACACATCTCCACTGCAGATGACGAATTTGATTTTGGGGACAGAGTCAGAGAACATTTAAAAGATAGTGGATGTTGATGAATTATTCATTAACATTCACTAATTTTTAGATGAATGGCACAACAAAAACGTAGTAAGTCATAGAAACCAAACATGACACAGAGCATTAAATCTCAAGAAAAAGTCTAAAGGAACGGTTTTGATTTTTGCACAAAATAAGCCATTTCAAAGACAGGGAGTCGGGGTCTCAAAATATTAAGCCCTGATTCTAGTAGGTTGAGTACTTTAGCCTAGTCTCCAGTTTAGTTTTTTAAAATTAATAAAGAAAAAAAAAAGCCGTCTTAAGAGTCAGAAAGCATAATAATATACTCAAATTTTATATTAGGAGCACATTGTGCCAGCGTCTATGGTTTAGCAGTTAAGCGCTTCGCCATCTCACATAGGAGACTTGTTTCTTAGCCCGGGTTGGCCCTCACAGGCAGGGTTGGTAACCAGCCAACTCATTCAAATTGATCTAATTTATATCGATTTTGGGGGGGGGGGAGTTAACACATAAATTGTTTAAAAGAATACGATTGACTTTTTACGTGTTTTGTTGTATTTGTACATCAGATTCGGTGTTCTTTCAACGAGTTTGAGCGTTATATTGA